CACACACACACACACACACACACACACACACACTGTAGCATTCCATAATCACTGTTTCGCATCTTGTTTTTCTCGGTTAACATTATATCCTAGAGGTTTTTCCATGTCCAGTACTCAGAAATCTGCTTCGTTCGCTTCAGGGGCTGTGTGACATTGGAATACTACTTGATTTATTTGGTGAAAAAGGTCCCTATTCTTGGATACTCAAGTTGCTTCCCGTCTTTTGCTAAAAAAAACCCCTGCCATGAAGGTCCTTATGTATGTATCTTGGTGCACATGTGTTCTTTCAGATGGTTGGGTTTTTTTTCCCCCCCCCCCTCCCCCTTCTCTCTCTGCTTTTTGGCCTATTTTTTTTTTTTTGCCTATTTGCATTTTCAAATTTTTATTCCATGAGCATGTCCCACTTGTGTAATAATTAAAAGGATATGTTTACAGGCCCAGGCCTCCAACTTCAGCCAAGTTAGATAAACAGCCCCACGCATAAGCACAATTCAGAAAGAAAAAAACCGGCCTCTGTTGCCGAGGCCTGTCTGGCTGGGAGGCTGCATTTCTGCAGAGTCATGTGCCAAGGCCCAGGCCAGCCTGCTGGGACACGTCCTGGAGAGCAGGGTCTGGGTTCCAGTCCAGGCAGTGCATCAACTTGCCAGATGACTCCAGGTAAATCACAGAGCCTGGCTGGACTGTCAGGAGAGTGTTTCCTAGGGGCCAGGCTCTAAATGAAGTAGGATAGGGTGATGGGGGAGGCCGTGTTAGACGAGGGGAAAATGACCCAGGGTGATGAAGCACTTGCCAGCCTCCTCACGTCCATCCAGCCCAGGAGTCAGTCCTGGTTCCTCCCACCTCCCCTGCAAATATCAGTTCACCCACAAGTACGACGGACTCAACCTTCAAAGCACAGTTGACCCTTGCCCTGGCTGATGTGGCTCAGTGGTTTGAGCATCAGCCTGCACACCAAAGGGTCACGGGTTCGATTACTGGTCAAGGGCACATACCTGGGCTGCAGGTGTGATCACTGGCCCTGGTCGGGGTGCATTCAAGAGGCAACCAATCAATGTCTCTCTCTCTCTTTCTGTCTCTCTCTCTCTCCCTCCTCCCCTCCCTCTCTTCCACTCTCTCTAAAAATATCAATGGAAAATATCCTTGGGTGAGGATTAACAAACAAACAAACAAAACACAGTTGACCCTTGAACAATGCAGGAGTTAGGGGTGCCTACCCTCTGCGCAGTAAAAAATCCAATTTTAACTTTTGACTCCCTGAAAATGTAATGACTTAACACTACTGATAACATAAAGTCGATTAACACACATTTTGTATGTCATGTGTATCATAGACTGTGTTCTTACAATAAAGTAAGCTAGAGAAAAAAATGGCATTAAGGAAATCATAAGGAAAGGAAAATACATGGACAGTACTGTACATATTTATTGAAAAAGTCCATGCATCAGTGGACCTACCCCATTCAAACCCATGTTCTTCAAGGGTCGGTTGTATATCTCTGTCTCTCACCAAATTCTCGCCATGGCCCGGCCTTCAAGGCCCTCTGTGATTGGCACTCACCACCTCTCCCATGTCATCTCCCTTCCCCACCCCTCCTGGCGCTCTCTGCCCCATCACACCAGGCTCACTCCCAACCTCAGGGCCTTTGCACGTGCCCTGCTCCTGCACTTGGATTCTTTTCCTTCCCAGCAGGTCCAGGACCAGGCTGAGGCAAATGAGATGCCCAGGATGAAAACTGTAAGAAGACACGCACTCTCAAGGGCCAGTCTACACTGGAACAAGGCTGAGACCAAGAACCCCCTCACGTTTTGTACCTGGGTCACTCGTTTCCTCGCCCTTATCCTGCTCTGTTTCCCAGAATTGGATCTTATCGTTTGGGTCTTGCTTAATCGATCCCCTCCTCAGAGAGACCTCCCTGATCATCTTAGCTCAGGGTGTCTCTGTCACTATATAGCCCATCACTTCAATTTATTTTCATTATTCTTATTCAAAAATTATTTGTTTTGTGCCCATCTCTGCCCACTGGGTTATAAGTTCTATGAGAATAGGGACTGTATCTGCCTTGTTCTCAGATATTCCCCCAGCACCCAGCAGAGTGCCACATTCAGGAGACAGTAAATATCCCTGGGATGGATGGATGGATGGATGGATGGATGGATGGATGAATGAATGAATCAGCTAGTTAGTGGCAAAGCCAGGATTTGAACCCAGGTCTGCCTGTCTCTGAAGTCAGCCCTCCTATTCCTGACTGAGAACTGAAAGGTTTAGATTCAATCAGCGGGGAACCCTGGAGGGTGGCTTGTGTCACAGCCTGTCCTGATGGGAACCCTGCGTCCCAAGGACAGACTCCTGAGGAAACTTCTGGGAGGGGGAGGAGCTTGGCCACAACCACAGGGGCTGCTCTCAGCCTCGGGCCTTCCTGGGCCAGCTGTGCCCGCCCCCCTCATTCTAGTTTTTATTTTTAGCGGCGAGTTTTTGGGCACAGCGGACTCTCCTTAGGAAAAGTCCAACAAGAGGATGAGAGAGGCGGTTTTGAAATCCGGTGGGAAAGTAGGTCAGGCTGGGTTGCTGGCTGGAGTCCAGACGATAAGGCCGCTGTGGAAGCTTAATAACGTGAGTAGCCGTATCCATGACACAATTCATAACTGAGAGGAAACAGCAATTAAGGGGCAATTGTGCAACGTGGGACAAGCCTCCTTCTCAGCTCATAAAAGCAGGAGGAGGAAGAGGCGACGCTGTCATTCTGGGGCCACTGGGGGCCAGGCAGGCAGCCTGCGAGGATTGGGGGCTAAATCTCTACATGGAGGGGGTTTGCACCCATCTCTCCTCTCCCCCTCAGGCCTCAGGGAACTGGGAGGATGTGTAAGGCAGAGACTCCCCTCATCAAACACCTACTAAGTACCCAGCTGGGCTCAGGAGGAGCTAGGAGCCGTAAAGCTGGCTTTTGCTGCGGTTGGGAGATTTGGTCGCAGCTGCACTATTTTGATGCTGCCTTGTCAAAATGGAAAACCGCTTTGATTACCGGGTGAATTGTACAACAGACACGCCTGGTCCTCAGTCCACCTCCCCGCCTCCTTCCACCCCTTCCAGTTACTATGGATTTTCAGTTTCTCCTTTATTCATTCTCTATTATTTGATCTTTCCATCAGCACCCTTTGCTTTATAATCAGTTAACACACACACACACACACACACACACACGCACGCACGCACGCACGCACGCACAAACCATTAAATCCACATTGGCACCTTTTCTTTTCCTTGAACAAGCCAGGCATGCACTGGCCCCAAGGCCTTTACAGTTGCTGTGCCCTCTGCCTAGAGTGCTCTTCCCCTCGATATCCACATGGTGCACCCCTCACTCCTGCAGGTCTTCACTCAGCTGTCGCCTTCCCAGTGAAGTCTTAGCTGACCCACCTTTTAAACATGGCAAACCCATCTGGGGCCCTCGCCCTACCTCTCCTGCTGTATTTTTATCTACAGCCCTTACCCCAAGTGACCCTCTCCATCTGCTGCTCACTTATTTCACTGTCTGCTCGGTCCCACCAGCGTGTTAACACCACCAGCAAAGGGGTTTTTGTCCATCTTGTTCTCCGCTGCATCTCCAGTGCCGGGAACTGTGCCTGGAACATTGTAGGCGCTCGGGAAAAAATGGTGAATGGATGAATGGATGCATGAATAAATGTTTACTAGTACTATCAGCTGATGAAAAGGCTGGCTGTTTGCTGGATTGGTTTGAGGGCTGCCTCAGAATGTCCACGGGTCAAGACCTTCTTAGACGCTGGTGGGATCATTGGGAGTTGGGGTAACAAGAGCCGATTTACTGGCCCAAGTATTGCAGCTGGCCCCTGTCCTGATTGGTCAGTGCTCAGTCTGGACAGCATATCTCCTCCTCCCTGGGAGCTCCTGGACACTCCAGTTAAGATTCTAAATGCACTGACTGAACCCACCCATGAACATTCCCATGCAAGGGAGCAAAGCTCTGCATGCAAAAGGGGTTCCTTGTGGGACCTTTCACAGTAGTGTGCATACACACACACTCGCACACTCGCATGCTCACACTTACACTCAGTCAGACCTGACCTCGAGATTCAGACCCAGGGACACACTCACACACTCATGCAATTAAACTTACACACTCATTTTGTCATTTACACACCCAGACCCACACATGCTCAAACTGGTTTATACACTCAGTGATGACGCTGCCCCCCTGCCCGGGCACCGGACACACACAGATGCCTGCTTACTCACACCCATACACAAACATGTCCACGTCTGCACACTCACTTGCCTTCTGAAAGCCCTATTTTCACTCACTCATCCTTAGGCAGGCAGTCCCCCCATACACACGGACACAGTGGACACCCGCCCCCCCCACACCTCAACCACACCTCCTGGGACACATCACCTGCCCTTCCTGCAAGCCGAGCCCCAGGGAGCCAGCCCTCAGCTGTGTTTTGAGGAGTGGGAACAGAATGTTTGCCCTGACCCCGGTCGACCCTGAATCTCGACTCTGACCTAGGGCAGCCTCAAAACCGCCTGATGTGGGCAAACTGGGGAGGGCCTGCTCCGTCAGCTGCGGGTGCATGATGCTCACATCAGCCCTGACTGTGCCGCCTTGGGGCACGTCTGCCTGGCTCATCAGTGCCCAGGGCACCCGCCCACTTCCTCCCCATCAGAGGGCAGGCCAGCCCTGATGACATCAGGCGGTCTCTGGGCCTGCCTGGCACCCAGGACAGAGGAAGGAAGCAAGCTGTCCCAGCTGCGTGGCCAACTGAGGAGCCCCGGACTTGCCGGTGGCTCTGTGACCCAGGTCCACTGGGGCTGGGCTGCCTGTCCCCAAACCCACAGGGGCACTGTGACGTGGACTGGTTCCCATACCCAGAAATGACCGTAACAGTGACTAATATTTACTGAGCGCCTACTGGGTGCCAAGCACTGTTCTAACTCATCATGACTATTCTTTAATCTTCAAACCAACTCTACGGGTGGGTGCCATCCCATCCTAGGTGTACAAATAAAGACACACAGAAAGGTTAGGGGACCGGCTCAAGGAACAGGATTTGAACCAGTGATCTGGCTGCAGACCCCTACTCTCAGTCACCCCCCTCCAGCTTGTTCGTTTGTTGCTTGTTTTGGTGAGTCTCTGATAGTCTTGACTTCTGCACCTCTCACCTCTCTGAATCCTGGCAACACTCTCATGAGCAGGGTGCCAGTATTAGCCCCGTTTAACAGATAAGGAAACTGGGGTTTAAATGACCAGCCTGAGACAGACAGCAAGAAAGAGGCAGAGCTGTTTGTACCTGAGTCCCAGGGCTCTTTCTGCAATGCCTGGTCATCTCCCTCCTATGCCAGAGGTTTTGGCAGGACCAGAGATGGGGAAAAGAGAGCCGGTGGGCCTTTGGTGGCCACAGAACAGTCAGAAAAATAATCAGACATTATGTCAATAAAACAACAAATATTGTACTTCTTAAAACAAGTGGGAAATAGTGAACATACAATAGAATACGCAGCCTCACAACAACCTTGCAAAGCAGATGCTGTTTAATTCCATTTTACAGATGAAGAAACGGAGTCCTTAAATGCCATCCCCATGCTCACAATTTCGAAGGTACATCGCCTGCCAGGAGTCTCACCTGAACTCAGGGTTGAATATCCAGCTGTGGCTCAACATGCCTAATGGGCAACTCCAGAGCTCCAGGTAAAACACTGAACTTCTTATCCGCCCTGCGTGACCCCGCCCCTCCTGCAGCTTCATTGCGGAACACGCCACCTCTGTCTTCCCAGGGCCGCAGGCCAAAAGCCTTCCAGTCCTCACTGACTCCTCTCTTTCTCACCCATGGACTGCAGAAGGATCCTATCACTTCACTCCCTCTCCCCCCTCCAAAGCCCCACCCTGGTGTGAGTCACCAAATGCTTGCTTGGATGGTTGCCGTGTCTTTCAAACCGTGTCCCCCATCCTGCCATTCCTCCCTACCCGGAGGAAGCCAGGTCGTGTTTCCCCTCTGCTTCACACCCTCCTGGGGCTCCAGGTCACCCAGAGTAAAAGATAAGGTCCTGGCAGTGGTCCACAGGCCCCATGTGGCTGCCCCATCTTCACCCCCTGGCCTCTCCCCTCCATCCACACTGGCATGCTCCCCAATCCTGGAACACACCAGCCACACAACAGCCCCAGAGCCTTTGCACTTGCTGTTCCCTCTGCCTGGAACTTTCTTCCCAGAGATAACAAGGGGGCTCCTCTCTCACCAGCTTTAGGTCTTGGCTCAGATATGAATGTACCCAGGGGCTTCCGTGACCAGCCTGTTTAAATGAATAAGCCGCTTCATGAGCACTCTTTGCCCCCCTTCTCTCCATGGCAGCATCACCACTGTGCCCACAGGGCAGGACTGTTTCTGGGGTGTCCATGGCAGCATCTTCAACATCTTCATGTCCTGCTCAGAGTGCTTGCTCAGTAAATGTCTGTTGAATGCATGAATGGGGATCTGCAAGGGGTTTGCTGACTTCCCCAGGCCGCCAGGTTAGGACATGGTGGAGCCAGGATTTGAACCCACGGGTCTGCGTCCCAAGCTATGTCCTTAACCTTCCAGAGCCTGGTTCCAGGTCAGCACCCCAGAGATGGTGGCTGTCGCTGTCAGTGATTTTTAGGGTGACATATCCATCCTTCCCCCCCCCCCCAAAGGGAAGGCTGGGGAGGGGGCCAAAAGGGAGAAGGCAGGCCTGCTGTGGCCTCCAGCCAGTAGGAGATGATTCATCACCCAGGTGACATTCCATCCCCTTCCCCTGAGGACTTTGGCCCGAGATAAAGGGAAGGCTCTACTTCTGGGAACAAGAAGACAAACCAGCAGAAAGGTGGCCAGGCCAGTGCCTGGGGGGTTGCATGTTTGGGCTGGAGAGCCACAGGGTCCAGTCATGAAGTGGGGCAACCCAGTTTGGGCGACCAGATTGGGCCCTCTCCCTGCTGGGGCCAGAGGCACATCCTGAGTCCTGTTATCGGGAGAACAGAGCAGTGAGCCCTCCATCTTCCCCGCGTGCTGGTACGTGGGTCAGGGGAACGTGCGCCCATCCGCAAACACTTCTGGAAAAGGAACATCAAGGGGCCGTGCACTCTGACCAGATGAGCTATATTTGATTTCTATTTTAATTTATAAAAATTCCAACTATACAAATAATACTCGAATAGAGTTCTGCTGCAGAAGGCTCAAGCAACACACTGCCTACTGTTAGTTTATTGCATCGCTATGGTTGCGTTTGGCTGCAAGTAACAAGTAACTGACTTGGGTGGCTTTGCCAGCTGGAGGCTCCATTTTTCCTGTATAGAAAGGAGTCCAGCTTCCCGGTCCCTTTGGTGTGTGACGTTCAAACTCACAGCTATAGCGGGCCTCACTGCCTGGCATTGTATGCTCAGCCCAGACAGGAGGGCAGGGAACAGGCCAGCCGCGGACCCTCTTAGATCAAGGACATGTGGCTTTCCCAGAGCTCCACAGGTATTCTTCTATTTACATCTTATTGACCAGAATCAGGTCACGTGGCCACCCCATTGGAACTATGTGCCCGCAAGTGGGGCTGGGGAGGCAGCTATTTTATTTGGGCCCATTGGCATCCCATTCAAAATCAGAATCCTGTTAGTGAGGAAAAAAGGCGATGGGTGATGGGCAAATACTAATGGATCTGCCTCAGATTTGTTTTTTGTTAGCTGAATGGAAACGGACTGTAAATGCGGTGTTGGCCTTGCTTTTGTTATTCACCTGATAATGTGCATTTAGAGATTCCCCTTGTCATTATGACCTGCTGCATGGTATTCCATGGGACGGCTGCACCACAGTTTACTTACCTAATCCCCTGCTCGTGGACATTTAGCTTCCACTGTGCCAAACAAGGCCTCAGGGAACGTCTCACGCAGCCGCTAAGCCCACGTGCACTGCGACAGAACTGGAACTGCGGGTAAACGTGCACGTCTATTTGAATTGCTGGCAAGTGTTCCCAAATCAACACTAGGGCTTGGCCAGCGTACACTTCCTCCCTCTGTGTATGGGAGGACCTGCTCCCTCCACACTCACGGGCCAGGGTATTATTGCCACTTAAATTTTGATGGGGGGAGAGGGAGTGGAATTGTGATGGGGGGGGAAATCATTATTTTTGTTATAGTTTGCATTTCCCTGATTAGAATGGGGGAGAAGCCCTTTATCATTTATGTATTGGCTATGGGTATTTTCTGATGTTAATTTACCTTTTTATTTTATTTTTTTTAATATATCCTTATTGATTTCAGAGAGGAAGGGAGAGAAAGATAGAAACATCAATGATGAGAATCATTGATTGGCTGCCTCCTGCATGTCCCCCACTGGGGATCGAGCCCGCAATCCAGGCATGTGCCCTTGATCAGAATCGAACCTGGGACCCTTTAGTCTGCAGGCTGACGCTCTATCCACTGAGCCAAACCAGCTAGGGCTAGTTCACCTTTTTAAATGATCCGGCCATTATTTTCTATTGAGTTCCTTTATCCTTTCTGATTGGCATGAGTCCTTTTCTATTCAGGGTATAAATCCTTTTTTTAAAAAAATCAATTTTATTGAGGCCTAATTTATGCACAATAAACTGCATGTGCCTACAGCAGGGTTCCTCAGTCTTGGTACCATTGGCATTTGGGGTGGATAATTCTTCATCTGGGGCCGTGTGTGCATCACAGGGTGTTTAGCAGCATCCTGGCCCCCACCCAGGTGCTGTAGCCCCTCCCCTCCCAGTCACAGCCACCACAAGTGACTCAGGGCATTGGTGAATGTCTCCTGGGGGCAAATCATCCCCAGTTTTGAGCCTCTGATTTAAAGTACACAGCTGTTGAACTTTGAGAGATGTGTGCACCCCAAACCTACTACTACCTTCAAGATCTTTGTATTTAGGTTGCAAATACTTCCCCAGTCTGAGACTTGGCTTCAAATCCAAGACCTGCCCCTTCCTATTGGAGTGACCTCGGTAGAGTCATTTCATTACTCTGTGACATGAGGATAATTCTGACCAGGCAGTGAGGTTGTGAGGCTGGAAGGGAATCGTGAACGTGGCTGGCATGTAGTAGGTGTTCAGTAATGCTAGCTCCCCATCCTTCCTCATATGCACATATTCACTTAGTTAATAAATACTTACTGAGCACATACTATGTGCCAGACCCTGTGCTCGGCTCTGGATACCATGAAGAACAAGACCAGGGGTCCTCAAACTTTTTAAACAGGGGGCCAGTTCACTGTCCCTCAGACCGTTGGAGGGCCGGACTATAGTTTAAAAAAAAACTATGAATAAATTCCTATGCACACTGCACGTATCTTATTTTGAAGTAAAAAAACAAAACGGGAACAAATACAATATTTGTATTTACATGTGGCCCGCGGGCTGTAGTTTGAGGACCCCTGAACAAGACAGACAGGTCCCAGTGCTCAATTAGAGGACACGGAGAGTAAATGAGTAAACAAATGAATGAACAAAAATAACATCTTATAATGATGCTGATCAGTGCTGAGAAGTCAATCAGAGGCTGTAGTGTGGTAGACACCTGGGGGTGGCTCTTTGGGGAGACTAAGGAGGTGACATCTAGGTGCAGCAGCAGGGAAGGGAAATCCAGGCAGAGGGAACAGAAAGCACAAAGGTAGCGAACACCTTTGCAGAACAGCAGGAAGTGCGGATGGCTGGGACAGAGCAATGGGGGCAGAGGTGAGACTCAAGGTCAGGGAAGATAAAGAGGTCGGAGCAGACCATGCAGGGCCTTGGCCACCAGGATAGTCCTATTCTAATATGCAATGAGAACCCATTGGACAGCTATTTTATTTGGGCCCATTGGCATCCCATTCAAAATCAGAATCCTGTTAGTGAGGAAAAAAGGCGATGGGTGATGGGCAAATACTAATGGATCTGCCTCAGATTTGTTTTTTGTTAGCTGAATGGAAACGGACTGTAAATGCGGTGTTGGCCTTGCTTTTGCAGCATCCACCTCCAAAGGCCCAGGAAAGCCATGTTAAACCCTCTGGAGTTTGCCCTGAGGTAAAGGGGAGTCCTGGGAGGCTGAAGCAGGAGGGTGAGGTGATCAGAGCTGCTTCATAGAAAGACCTTTCTGGCTACAGGATGGAGAAGGAATTTTTAAATTTATTTTTTTTAGAAGTTGAGGCTCTGCTCTGTGCCAGGTGCTGAGGATTATCAGTGAACAAAACAGACTTAGTTCCTATCCTTACCAAGTTTGCAGCCTGATGGGGTGAGGCTTGAGTCAAATAAGCACACAAATAAATAAGGAGTGTGATAAGGGCGATGCAAGGCTGTGATAAGGGAAGGCATGCAGGCTGTGAGGGGCTGTAAAGTGGGGGTTGACCTGGGGGCAATAAGAGAGGCTTCCCTGAGAAAGGTGAGGGGGGAACAGCAGTGGGAAGAGTTCCAGGCGCAGGGAACAGCACAGGTGTAGGAGCCCAGGTAACACAACAAGGAGGTTTGGGTGGAAGAGGATGGTAGAGCTGGAGAAACACAGGCATAGATGGCGAAGGGAAGCAGGGAACCTCGGGGTCCAGCAGGCTTCTGACTTGAGCAAGGTGAGCCACGACAGAGGAGGCCAAGGATGGGGAGATAATTTGAACAGAAGACCCTGAGTACAAACATGGTGTGTTGGATTTCAGCTCCCCTGAGCCATCCAAACGGAGACAGTGAGCCGGTGGTTTGATATAGAGGTCTGGTGTGCTGAGGGACCCTCTGGCCAATCGTAGTTGTCCTACCATGCATGGACTCCCAGACCAGAGCGCACCAAATCCTGGCCTTTGGGGGACCTAAGGCATGCCAGGAACTATGCCGATGGTAGATGCAGCGGCTGCTCACTCACATCTTTGTTAGCAGGGTCCAGTTTTGTTGGGTGTGCATCTACCCCAGGTGTCCGGGACAGTGGTCACTCCCCGCTCTAGCCTCAGAGTGAGTTGTAGTGCATCTAAGCCAATTGTGGTCATTCTCGTTTCCCTGGCCGGTGGTTGGCTTGGAATTAGGCATGTGATGTAATTGTGGCCAATGGGAAGTCTTCAAGGGGGCTTCTGGGGACCATATTCTCCCTCCTAAAAGGAGATCCGTGGGAGGAGCTACGTCTCCTGTCTTTACTTGATACCCTCTGTGTGTGATGGCTGGCGCTGCAGCAGCCACCTTGAAATCATGAGGACAGGCATCCCAAAATTGCTGAGAAAGGCAGAGCAGGGAAATGGAAAGAATGTGCATTTTTGTTTACCTCTTCATGCCTTCGAATGAAACAGCCTTATTAGATTAAATTACGAATTCCCCTTCCCTTTTTTCTCTTTTCCTTTTTACTTGTCTGAAGGTGACAGTGATGGCTGAATTAGTCATGCTGCAAATTTATCTCCAAAGGTTTGTTTAGCACATCAGAAGTATCTTTCCTCTTGACATAAAGAAAAAAGACAATGAAATGTGCACTCCCCCCCAGCCCCCCGCTTTTTGCCACCTTTAGTCAGTGGTTCTATTCCTTGTGGGTGAGCACATTCTGAGAAAAGCCTTCATTTGCATTGTCTCACTTAATGCTCTCACTAACCCTCTGAGATTGATATTATTATTACAGCCATTTTTTGCAAATGAAGAAATAGAGGCCCAGGTCTGGTAAGTGACTTTCCCAGGGTCACAAAGATAGTAAGTCACCGAGCTGGCATTTGAGTCAAGGTTGGTCTGATTGGCGAGTGCATCAGACCTAAAGCCACAATCTCCTTTTAAAAGTCTTTCCCTTAACACGTTTTTAGTAGGAAACCATAGCCCTGTTCTTATTTTTCCCTGGAAAACCGTTATTATGGTTGGTGGGAGACTTCGAGTGGGCTGCGTTTCTTTGCGCACAGTTAATGGCTTTGATTATATGTTTCTGGCTTCTTCTCTCTGAGAAAGGCTGCCATTGGTTATACAATATAATCAAATCATTTCTTATGTAAACAGCCGCCTGGCCCAGAGTCAACCGTGGTTCCATCAGCGGGAAGGTGAAAATGAAACTGTGTTCCCAGCTCCGGAAAGCAATCTGCGATTCAGCAGGAAGAGATCAAGGGTTAATGACATGGAGTTGGGCAAAGGCTGCCGCCGTGGCTCTGAGCATTATCAGGAGGCGGGAAACAAAGAATGGTTGTTAAATCGGTTTGTTACAAAAGTTATTTCCTAATGTAATTCATGAAACACTTGCCAGAACATTAGGCACATCCTTCGAAAGCACAAGGGAACTTAAAAAAGAAAGAAAGAAAAAAACAAAAAGAAAGAAAAAGTGGCTTCTAAAGTCAACGATGGAACTCTTAGAAAGGGTTAATGCCCTTCATATACAAAGAGTTCTTGCAAAACAATAGGAAAAGGTACCTTATTATAAATTGGCTATTCAGAAATGAAGAAGTACAAAAGGCAGGCAAACATGAAGACAAGATCCACCTTGTAAGCATGATTACAAGATCCAGTAATCAAGGAAATGCAAATAAAAGCTACAATGACATATCATTTCCCAACTATCAGATTGGCAGAGAATGGCGGTGTGCGCCATGATGTTCAATGGGCAGAAATTTTAAAGCAACTCAGAAATTTAACCTTGGGGCATTTCTCCTAAGGATATAGCAGGCCAAGCAGTCTCTGTGGACAACCGTGTTCACTGAAGCGTTGTTTATAATAGTAAAACACTGGGAGGGGGAAACCCAAAGGCTAAGCTACAGAGGATTCATTAAATAAACAATGGCAAGCTTACATGATAAAATACTAGATTAAAAATAGATTGTATTAAATAAATATAAAACTTTTTATCAAGTTGTATTTAGAAAACTAATTAAAAATGGCAATATAGAGAGATGTCATGACACACTGCAGAGAAAAATATTTCATGAGTACGATCCAGATTGCACTATGTTGGGTGTGCACATGCGTGTATATTATACTAAAGGATGTGTACCCCGATGTCAGCAATGTTTATTTCTGGGTGGCGGAATTTTCAGTAATTTTTACTTTCCTGTAAGTCAGTTTCTCAAACTGGGCACTACTGACATTTTGCGCCAGGTAATTTTTTTCCTCTCGGGGGACTGTCAGTCACTGTTGGATGTTTAGCAGCATCCCTGACCTCTGCCCACCAGATGCCAGCAGCATCCCTGCCCCTCTGCCAGTCATAACAACTCAAAACCTCTCCAGACTTCGCCACGTCTCCTGGGGACGTAACCACCCTCCGTGGAGAACCACTGCTTTAAACATTTTTCTGCATTACTTAAATATTTTAACAACAAGCCTGTATTGTTATCATAATCAGAAAAAACAAACACATTAAAAAATATTCAGCGAAGTCATTAGTGGCTTCGTGAATTGGCCGTGGGTTCTGAATGGAATGCAATCAGAGAGCAGGAAAATCTGTTCTCTTCTTGCCTTCGATACAAGGTTCTGGAGAAATATCTCCACGTCTGGCAACGTTTTTCCTGGCCTACTCTTTGCGCAAAGAACAACTTATTTTTCCCTCCGAGTCTTAATATCATTAAACTTCCAAAGTGGATGCTTTGACTCTCTTGTCCCTCTCTCCTCCCCGGGCGACTGACTGCTCCGTACAGGGAACAGTCACCTCTCCCTCGGCAGCCCTCCTTTGAGGGGAGTGACTGGCTGTCCTCCTGGCCCCAAACCTAAGCCTATTCTCTAAATCTCACCCTCCGGCCATGGCTAGTGGCTCAAGGATGAACAGTTTGGTAACCAGTTTGATCCATTGAGTCTAGAGGCGACTCCACGTGTTGGGGCTTCTGGAAAAGAGGCATTTCAAGGACTCCTCAGAGGCCACTCAGACCTCTGCATCTGCACAGAGCGAGGCTGGAATTGCTGTCCCGCTTTTAACACCACGAAGAAAGCCAGCCGGAGGGGGAGATCAACACGCAGAATCCCTGCGCTGGTAAGACACCAGGGGAAGGGTGGGGCCCTGATCAAACCAAGCCTGAAGCTCACCCTTTTAACACCACGAAGAAAGCCAGCCAGAGGGGAGATCAACATGCAGAATCCCCGCGCTGGTGAGACACCAGGGCAAGGGTGGGGCCCTGATCAAACCAAGCCTGAAGCTCACATTCTGCTGCGTTTTTTGTTCATGGAGCCAATAAATCTCCTTTATAGTTCAGCCCGTTCGAGCTGAGTTTCTATGACTTGCAGCCCCAAACCAACTGATACAACTCCCTTTGATGACAGAAATCCCTCCCAAATTTCTGCTTTCTTGTCATTTCAGCAAATATATATTGGACACGTCTTACTGATCCTGGAGGGGCAAAGATAACATAATCCCTTCCCTGACAAGCATGCAGCCTGGCTGGGGAGAGGGGGATGGGAATGGAGAGAGGACAACACATAGGCAATGGACCTCTGCTGTGATCACAGGGTCCAGACATGGGGATGGGAAGAGGAAATCCTGAAGGAGAGTGAGGAGAGGGAGCAGGATGTGTGGACCGATGGAGCAGCCTGGACACGAGAGATCATTATGGGCTCAGGGAAGGGAACCACCACAAGAAAGAGTAGAGCTGTTGAGGGAGGCTGGTATGACCCTAGAGAACTTCAGGGGGCCCTGCATAAAAGGGAGCCAGGCAGGGGTTGGGCCCCCAGAGAGAGCCCCACAGCGTGGAGCATGAACCCTTGCCTCCCCTGTCCCTTGATGCAACCCAGCTGTTAGCAGAGAAGGTGGAGGGTTGGGGAGAGAACACTTGTCAGAGCCCAGCTTTTCCATTCCGAGGACAGAGAGACGAAGGTATAAGTACAGATGACACTTTGTGACTAATATTCTTCAACAACCTTCATTCCGCACAAGCACTACTATAGCAGAGGGCAAAGATCAACCTGGGCTCATGGCCTGGCTGGGGAGACAGATAATCACCTCATGCTTCTAAAAAATATAAATGCCAACCATGCTTTGGGGTCTTTGGGGAGGTCAGGGAAGGATTCCTAGAGAAGGTAGCATTAGAGCCGAGTGCTGAAATCTGAGAAGAAGTTCCCTTGGCAAAGGCAGGAAGAAAGGGATTTTAGGCAGAGGGAACAGTTTGTGCAAAGGCCCTGTGGCAGGAAGGCATGTGTGAAGATGAAGGACTGATATGAACAAGTCCTTTGCATTTACACTATGCTTTTCATGGGTCCTGGAAATAAGCATGTGTTCTTATCATGCTGACAGGTCTTAATATCACCATTTTACAGATGAGTAAACTGAGGCCTAGAGAAGCAAAGTGACCTGTTAAAGGTCACACAGCCAGGAAGCAGTAAAATGGGAATTGAGAGCATGTTCCTCATCCTACCCTGGCATGGCTCTCTTGGGAGTCAACCAGCAGCTTTCTGTCTGATGGCATTTTTCTTCTTTAAGAACTCAGCAGTACTCAAAGTGTGGTCCAAGGGTCCCTGGGGGCCCCCCAGGCCCTTTCAAGGGCGTTCACAAGATAATTTGCCTTTTTTTACTCTCATTCTCACATGAGTATAGAGTTTGAAAAGTTCATCGACAGGTATTTTAGATTCCAAATTGCAACTGAGCTTTAAGAAACTCCCACTGGCGAGTTTTGGTTTAGCATTGAAGGTTACCCACAACCGTGCGCCTTCAAGAAGCCGAGTTTTCTGCAGATACTTCAACCAAAACAGAATATCACAAGGGACTGAAGGCAGAAGCAGACATGAGCATCCATCCGCAAGGCCAGCCACTGGGGTGGGACACCAAGTCCAGCAATCCCAGGAGGCCTCCTGGCTCTAGATTTTCAAAAGCCGAGGCGAGCAGGAAGAATTCCTATTTATGAAACAGCGTCTCACAGAGCAAGGCTCCCGGATCCAGAAGCAGAGGCAGGGTTCCAGCGTGGGGGTGACAGGGGTGTCCCCAGGCCTGAGCCCAAAGAGGCTAGAACTGCAGGAAGGAAAGGCAGTAGCCGGGATCCTGCCAGCCCCTGGGAGTGGCTGGGAAACAGGACCCCGGACACAGGCTACAGGAAGGGGACAGCCATGGCACCATATGGGGCAGCACAGATGGAAACCAGCCTGCTCCAGACCCTGGTCCCGGCTCTCACTCGTGTCCCTAATCCCTTGGCCTCACAAAAACTGGGAACCCTGGAGATGCAGGGAAAAGTCAGCGGAGAAATGAGAATCAGCCACCAGATGAAGTTTCCACCAGCCTGGCAGAATGACGGCACAAAATGGAAATTAAGTTCAATTTGGGGGGAAAAACAACAACAGAAAACAAAAACCCGCACAGCTCCATCTACGACCTGGGACTCATGCCCACTGCATGTAAGTCTCACTTGTGTGGAATGTGACCCCTGGCCAGCCCTCTTTCTTGGGCATGAGAGAGGTTGAGTCAGTTGCCCGAAGCTGCACAGAGGAAGGGGCAGGCTGGGATTTGCACTCAGATCCTGACTCCAGCCCCCTTGACCTTGATCACCAGGCTCGGCTGCTAGTGAGGTTGCTGGTCCCCAAGGCCTGGGCAGCTTCTGCCAGAGTATTGGGCTCGGAGTCTGAGGCTGGGCCTGGCTTACAGCCCCTGGGGTTGGAGGTTTGGACTCAAGGGTCCTCAAATGGGCAGAGGGCTGGGTGGAGTGTAGGGGTTTCTATCTCCCTCTCCCTTCCTGTCTAAAATCAAGAAAATATATTTTTTTAAAAATGACATTTATCAAGCGACAAACAAACAAAACTCTCTGTCTTGAAAAATAAGCCTAAATCTGCTATTCGGGGTTCAGTGTGTTATTAGCAACAGTCTAGGCCCGTGGTCGGCAAACTTCGGCTTGCGAGCCACATGCAGCTCTTTGGCCCCTTGAGTGTGGCTCTTCTTAAGCCTTAGGAGTACCCTAATTAAGTTAATAACAATGTACCTACCTATATAGTTTAAGTTTAAAAAATTTGGCTCTCAAAAGAAATTTCAATCGTTGTACTGTTCATATTTGGCTCTGTTGACTAATGAGTTTGCCGACCACTGCCCTAGGGTCACACAGGGAGTGTGGGGGAGCCATGCTACACCTGAGACAGCCTGTCAGGGAAGCGGAGGCCCAGGGAACAGAACGGGGCCCCTGCCCCTGCCCCCCATAGAGGACCCTGCGAGGTATATGGGGCCAGGTTCCAAAGGGGTCTTGACCTAGGCTACTTGGTCATTGTTCTTGATTCCCCCCAACCCCATATCCAAACCACCATAACTATCAGTTTTATGCCCTTTGTATCTCTCAGATCAGACCACATCTCCCCACCTCCACGGCCGTGCCCCAGGCCAGCCCCCATCTTCCACCCGCTAAACTGTGGCAGTAGCCTGATCTCTACTCTACCTGTTTCCACCCTTGCCCACCAACAGGCTCTTCTCCACACACAGCCAGAGGGATCCTGATAGAACCCAAGTCATATCCTGTCCTTCCTCTGCCTACAACCTTCCATGGCTCTCAACTCACTTAAGAAAAACTCAAACTCCTCACCGTGGCCACAGACCCTGCCCAGCCCTCCTATCTTATTACCACTGGCCACCACCACCACCTGCCCCCTCCGGCTATGGTTCCAGCCGGATGAGACCATCTTGCAATGTCTTAATGCCCCATGCTCTGCCCAGAGTCATGCTTGACTCTTCAGTATCTCCGGCACCTGCACATTCCCTGGACGTGGGGCATGTTTATTGAGTGACTAACCAACCGTCAGGATGAGCAGGACAGAGAGGCAGAGATGGGGTGAGGCGTGTGAAATGTGCACTGAGCCTCTACTCCATGAACAGAGCAGAACTGTGCCTGGGCTGGTGGAGCTGCCTGTCCCTGGGCCGGGGTGCGGGCTGGGGGTGGGGAGGACTAGCCTGGCAATTACAAGATGGTATCATCAGGTCTCGATGGCAGATTATGAGAGCACCTGGACAGCTCGGAC